GATACCTTGATTACATTGGCTCCTTAATCGACATGACATGTGTCGTTTATTCATTTTTTTTTCAAAAATAAATTATATTTTCTTTTATTTCGTTGTATAGTCATTCAAATAAAAAATCACAAAACTTAGGTTTATTGTACTCGATATGATTAAACACTGTATAATTATATCATTTATAAGTCAAAGTAATCTATATATCAAGGATTTTGCTAGGGGTACATAATTCTTGTATACAGAGAGGTACATAACACTCACGTGTGATGAGGTCAACCCCATGTGAGTGTTATGTACCCCTCAATGTACAAAAATTATGTACACCTAAAATTATCCATATATCAATTCCAACGAGACTTGAACTGTATGCTTTCCTTCGATTGTAAGCATTTGTTCATAAAATGTGCATATAGATTTGAAAACAATATCGACACATTTGAACTAGTGCTTCTTCGATAGAAATAGCTCAATATTCTTCATCAACATTTAAATTTGTAATATCACGATCTTCAAGGATAAGTAATATTTTGCGAAAATATTAATACAACATCGAGCTTCTTGCAAAACCATAATATTATTTTGAAATTTTAAAATACTCTTCAAGAGCAATAGCATAATTTTTAATAAAACAGTATATCTTATAAAATTACATTCTTTCAAAATAGTATATTCTAATGAAATATTAACATTATATATTTGTGCTTCTTTATGAGTAACAACAAAACATTCTCTATAATATTTAAATGCCTAGGTTAGAGTATTAAGTTGGACGAGTCACTCACAAACTCGCATGAATTGGCTCGCGAGCTATTGGCTCACGTGCTAGCCGTCTCGTCATTAGGGGAGTGAAAGTGCAATTTTTAGTTAAAAAATTCACAAACAATGAGCGACTGCCTTGTCGAGGGAGAGTCCGTCGGTCCATTTAACACTCATAGCCTAGGTTCCTTTTAAAAAATAAAACATAATATTCTTATGAAATATTAATAGAAATATAGAATTTGTATCATCCAAAAAGTAAGAAAAATTCTCTTTCAACAACCAATAAATTATTGGTAAACATTAAATGAATTATATTTATAGTTAAAACACAAAGGTCATTAGAGATCAGAGATCAAGACCTTGTTCAAACGGTAGGATAAAAAACTTTTTCAGATCAATGAATTGTGTTCGAGTCTCATCTGAAAATGGATGTATGTAATTCAATATATAGATTTCTAGAGTAAGTGCGACTATTTCTCAAGTGTTTCAATATGATTAAATGGCCATTAATAATTTTCTATCATTTTACAGTAACTTCAACCCTCTTTGTATTGTTCGTGTAGTTTAGTTTCTAAGGACATGTTCGGTAGAGATTAAAATTGAAAAACTAGCCGTTATTGTTGACTTTTATTAGACGAGTGAGACCCAATAATGGTTATATTTTCAATTTTAATTGAATTTTAAGCTGTACCGAACAGGCTTTAAATATTTCACATTGAAACGGTAAAAAAATTGGCTCACTTTTTTTCGACAAAGGCTAAAAAAATTATATTAAGCTATATACACGTAAATGCTGTTTACAATGAGGATAGGAGGACACTATTTTGATAAATAAAGATCGCTTCTTTTGCAAGAACTTGTGCCACACCATTCCATTTTCCTTATTGACACTGCTACTTCTGCAAAATCAGCAAATTAACTTTCATCATACACAAGAGTTAAGCCATAAATGTTCTCACTGACACATATACGAACAATTCTTGGAATACACTAACATGTTTGGATTCAAAATTTACTTATAAGCTTGGCCAAACATGCTCAATTTCATTCCAGATAGAGGCAATTCATCAGATCCTAACAACCAGCGTCTCGTTATGTCAGGTGACAAGTTTTACTCCCACAGGGGATATTGCCCAATTGATATTTTATTATGTAGACTTGATGAGGGGTAACAGGCTGAAAATTTTGCAACTTTTGATTTCTGAACCTTGGTATCAAATGTTGGACACTTGACTAAATCCACGTGAAGCAATATTTACAAAAAGGAAAAGACTCTAAGATCACAAAGGACATTAACAGAAAAGTATTTGGAAATAGGTTGTGAGTCTTGACATATCTTTTCATGTAGTAATATCAGTCACGTTTTCCATTATACAAAATTTGGATTTTTAAAAAAATTTGCGACTCTCAGCATATCTTTGGCAAGTGTGTATAAACCGTCACAAAAGTGTCAAATCAGTTTTTATTCAAATATTTCACGAGACCCACAAATATGTTATCTATCACTCATTTTTATCTGTTTATAAACACTTCCAAAAACAAAGAAAATTGTGATTGGCTCTTATTTTGAAGTTACCTATTGATCAAATACGACCTTTAATGTATGTTTTTGTCCCAGAAGCTAAAGGGAAACTAGGCCACAATTTTCACTCACTATAAGGATTCCTCTTTGAAGCTCTCATTATGGGCGCCATATGCTCAATTTTCCTTTATAATTTACACCTTTCTCAATTTCCTTTGTAACTAACTCTTTCGACCATGGTAAATGCATTACACCACAGTACAGTAACACTAGGGAAGACCATGTCAAAATTTTCGTTTTACTGAAGTCTACATTATATGTTTCTCATAAAAGTTACATTAGTGTTTATTTCATCTTTATATTCCCTATCCTTCATGGTTTACTTAATCTACTTAGGCTAAATAATGCAATTCATCATTATAGGTGATCGTCAACAATCTAGATGGCAACTAGTCCCCTAATTCATTGTCCATTGAATTAATGCATCACAACTCCATAGGACAATAAATCAGGGCGCCCAATGGGTCCACTGTCACCTAAACTAGTGATGATCATCGCTATTGATGAATAAAATTACTGACTTGATGTTAGAGAACAGAGGAAGTCATTCAAAAACAATTCCAACTTTTTCCTCCTACGATATCTATCTGCGATTCCCTCATCTTTTACTTTGGGTTTTTAGCTTGCTCTTATTTATCTGATAATTAGCTGCATGTGTTTATGTTAATAGGGCCAATGAGTTAAATAAAATCTCAACGTGCAACCACCCTTGGTTGGATATTGGGTTCCTACCTTCCCCCACCTAAATGTATTTCCGGAATCCACTACTTCAGTTTGAAGACCAAAACTCGAAGTCCCAAAACTCCTAACACAACCTTACAAGAAAGCTAGGTTGACTCCTAGTTTGGGAATTCAGACTGTGTTTTGTTTTCCATCCTTCATGAGAAACCATCCACCCCTCATCCACCTTATAAGACATGTGCACATGGGTGCCTTGGGGCCACCAATGTAGAGATGCTCATAAAAGGGAAAATCAACAATAACCTTTCGTGGATGATCTTGATTCTTGAATACATCTTTTGTTGTAACCCGGTCTTCAGATCGTGGTAAATGCATTACACCACAGTACAGTAACACTATCAGAAATAAAACTCATACTTTATGTGCAGCTAATACCTGACAACAACACGGAGAATAAAATAAGCATACAGATTGTAAGACAAAACATGGAAATATGGCGTCAAAAGTCTAGGACAGGAATACAGAACAGACAGTTTACACACTTCACACATTCAACAAAAACAATTCAACTTGCACTCGATTCTCCTATAGAATCATATGTCGTAGTAGCACTATAAAATTCAGTATAAAAAAATGAAAGCGCCGGCAGAGCATTCGTTTAGCGGAGAAAAAAAGTACGTGCTAAAAGATTTTTTTTTTTTCCTGAAAGTAAGAGATTTGATTTAAGATATATGCTCCTCAAAAAAGTAAGTGAAAATAGCAAACAGTGGCTAAGAAGTTGTTAAAAACATAAGCAGTAGTTAGTTGATACGGATACTCAAAATCTTACTTTGCAGCCAGCTCAATAACTGCACACAATGCCTTCTGTGGGTCTGAAAAGATGAAAATAGGTAAAATCAGTCTCTTAAGAATCAGGAACACTAGGATCAAAATATGGAGAAATTTTGCAATTGAAACAGTAGTAGCAATTTACCTTTCAAAAGGAAAAAAAAAAGTAAAAGTTCATTAGATGTATCTTAATGGTGGAAATTATGCCATATGTCAAGAGTGAAGCTAAACCAGTCTAGCTAACATGAACAACAATTGCACTTTTGAACTCTATGCAAAATTTCCACGTTAGCAAATTCAAACCTAAATCACTTGATCTCAATATATGTTGTGGGATTGAAGTAACAAGTTAAGATACTTAAGCTAAAAGAAGTGAAACGTGAGCAATCATTTAGAGCTGTGCACACCCACAGAGGCAAAGTTGCTTCATATGTTAAACTTTGAGATCTATCAATTTCTCGTGCCTCTAAGAATCTGATCACACAGTTTTATCTATCTAAGAATGCAGACAATCCATTCAAAGATAAATTAGAACAAAATGAACATGATCGGTTGACTTCTATTACCAGACCTGGCTAAAGAAAATCACAGAACAATGCAAAATAATTTTAAACTTTGGTAAAAAAAAAAAACTGTAGATCAGATACATTGTACAGATGACAAGAAAACCTGGTTTGTGTATTCCATATTACAGATAGGCAGTGCAAGTGAGTGTTTATATTTAGAAGCAAGCAATACGGAAACAACAGATATTAGAAAACAGCCATGTTTAACATTGCAAATTCCTTACAAATATCCACGTTCGTCTGCTTGCATGTTAGTGCAATAGTGCAATGTATATTCAGCTACCACTTAAAATGTGATTCTTAACTCCTAATATCCTATACAGTGACTAATAACCAAGTATCATGGTCACTAAATTATATATTTTGTGCACAGTATGACAGGACTTGGAAGATAAGAACTTAAAACATACATGGAGTAGCTTTTGTCGAGACCTCTGAACCGAATGATGCTCCACTCACAAATTCTAGATAAGAATAACCCGTAATGAACATGTAAATTCATTTCATATGTTCCAAAAATAATTTTGAATAAGAAATGAGATGCTTAACTTCCGTAATAACAGGACCCCGACGGAAAACTTTTAGAGGTTTCAAGTGAAGAGAGAAAGCGTTCCATATGTAGAAAGATATTGTATCTGGGGGCCACTGTAAACTGCTTTGTGCAATACGGCTCTAGTCTTAACTTCTTCCTCTCTTGCTAACACCTGTACCAGGTTCCTCAAATTCATAATTTCTGCATATGATTTTCATGACGTTCAGTTAAAATTAAAGGGTTACTAATGAGGCAATCAAGCGAGCTAACAATTAAACCACCTAAACATATTTAAACGAACTAAACACCCTCTTATAGATGAATGTCATGGGCAGAACCTGTTTGAGTTGCTTCTAGAAACATCTCTTCTTGAGTCATCCTCTTCTCCTCACCTTCCTTTTTTACTTTTTACTGGCTGACAATTGAAAAGAAGTTAATATTGGCCCAGATTACTGCATATCAGTACTTCTTTTGCTCATGGTGCTATGTTAAAAGTTCTCAGAAAGTAGATAAATTGCTAAATAAGTGAATAAACTCAACGAAATACAATTTAATGAAGTGGTGTTACTGAAACCAATTGATAATGTCAAAACGTGTAAAGTAGATAGTGCCTATGCTAGAACATAATGAGAACAAAGATCAACGTTTCTATACATATTCAGTGCACAAAATCTTGAGTCTGATTTTGGTTGAATGAAGTCTGACAGATGTTACAACAGTGTGTATCACATTTATGCCGCTTGCAAAACATATTTCAGAAGTATAATTATATAACATTGATGATGGTAATATATTCATAGTTTATAGCATTAGAAAGAATGTTGTAGGCTACAAAACAGTGGTCTGGAACTGTAGGTGCAAGAATAAGACCTGTAAATAAGTTCATTATTTCTTGAAGAGGATGGTCAATCCTATATCATGGTCCACAGAGTAAAACTTGTTTACATTTCACAGTATTTCCAAAAATCAAAACCTTAGTCTAAAGTGTTGCGAATTATGAACCCTAATTTTATTCCACTGAGAGCAATCAATTGAAAAAAGGAAAAATAAAACTCAAGAACACGCAAAATTTATAGAGGTTCGCCGTGACCAGCTCCGCAAAGTGGTACTAATTAGGCTCCGCAACTTAACACGAAGAACGTGGAGGAGACTACACAATAAAATTTCCGAAAGGAAGTACAGTAGAGATGAAATATGTAATCCTTACACCAATGGGTCCAAAGCACGGCATTTATTAGTTCTTTGGAATGATGTAGAATACTCCATACAGAATTTGCAACAGTTTTTGCAAACGAATTTCTTCCATACTTTACAGAGCATTGGTAGAAGAAAGTGAAAAGAAGTAAATTCAACATCTAGCAAAATCTATATACTTGAATTGATTTTTATAGTAAAAAATAAATTAATAATTAATCTAATAGAAAAGGAAGAGTAAAAACCTGACACAAAACATTCTCAAAGAACAAAAGATGATCGACATAAATATCAAAGAATAATATGAGTATCCAACTTCATTGTAAATCTCAGCTGTGTTGTCCAAGGTGAACAGAAGCTTTGAACTATATTTCATACCTTAAATTTTCTATCAACTGTGCGGGGTAATATCAACTGAACATGTATGGTCAAAGGTCTGGAGTGATTCAAAGGAAAATTCAAAGATTGATCAGCTTTATGAATTAGCTGACATTCTAATGACATATAAATTGGATGGCATATACCGAGAGTGAACTTGAACCTTCTTCTTCCTGAAGAGGTTAATAAGTTACTTAGGAGCAACTGGAATATAACAATCTTAGTACAAATTGTTGTCTAAAAGATCTTATTACATTGAATTGTCCCAAGAGAGAAATATATGGTATTGTTTTCAACATCTGATGAAGATATTTTAATCCAGTGATATTGGTGCAACAGATATGTTCAATTATATACATCAAAAGACATTACTTATCTTTAGCTGGGGCATGAATAAATGAATAGGATTCGCCATACCTTCATCATAGCTTGCAGTGCTGCACATATTGCATCCCTTTCGGCTTGCCTAACAATCACGGCAGTTCTAGTTGATTTCCTAATAATTCTCTCTGCCTCAACGTCATCGTGAACATCATGATGTTCAGAAGGTGTGGATTGCTCCAGGGTTTTGTCATCTTGTGGTGATGTTTCTAACTTAGACAGTACTTTCTTTTTCTTCTTCTTTGTTGATGGTTTTCCTGGAAATATTAATTGCTTTTTTGTCCTCCTGACCCAAGAAAGAAAACATATATGAAGCCATATCATTCTGAAAGGCCATTTCCATTGAAGAAGAGAAGCCAAACCTCTCATCCATGAAATTGAGAATGATTATCACACACACTCAAAAGCTGAATATAAGGAGTTTGTGAAATAACTGTTCATTTTTTTGTTTCATTAACCTGTTTGAATTGAAGAAATATCGAATAACATATGTCAAGTTGAGTATGTATTTAGGAGTTTAGTTTTGTCTGTCTTATGCTTTATTCAAATACGAACAAATATTTAAGTTTGGGATATTTGATAAGTGTAAATATTACACTTATCTTGGACATCAAAAGTGAGATTTTGAGAGTGCTTATTGTTTTTCGATACTTCATTTTGCTTATTTTATGATTAATTTAGGAGAAAATCAGATGGGAGAAATTTGGATGAAACTGAATTGAAGATATACACAATTACAGAATTGAGGACTAAAATAATCAAATTTTGGAGTTGAGAACCTTCCAAACAAATAAAAATGACTTAGGATGAATAATAAATTAATGTGAAGGACCAAATTTCCTGAAACCCTAAAAATTCCAGCGAATGTTGGAGATTCGTTGAAGATGTTACTGGATACAGGAAAGATGATTGAACAGGCTCAAAGATAGGGAAAAAACAGACCGACTTGACAGCACGTGTTTGGATTTTTTTTCAAACTATCCAATCATGTGTCGACATGTCTCCCCTATTTTTGAGTCTGTTTTGTAGCATGATTCCAGATAATCAATTTTCAGCCAATGCGAAATCAGATCTGATTAGATCTACGGTAGTATCCTCCCTCAAAAGCTCTGATATAACTGTTACATGTAAGAGATCTATCATTAGGGGGGGTTACAAAACTGAAGAGGCAACCATAAATCTAAAGAGAAAATCCTCAAATGCTTCAAATGCTAAACTCTGATTGCAAGGCCCCAGAGCTAATGTTTTACGGTTCAGTGTTCAATATTTTGGGTAAAGCACTAGAAATCACTTGCAAGGAATAAATGATTGTCTATTGTGTAGGATCAAAGTGGAAATGAAGCTATTGAAGCACATTCGAGAATTGCTTGCAGTGCAGTATTCAATGCAAATGCTGATAAATTGGAACCATCACTTTCCTTCATAATTGATCTTGGAAGGAATGAAGAAGTAAATAAGAAATCCTTAAGTAGATACAAACAGCTCCTTATTTGGATGTGGAAATAGTTCTTCAAATTCATCTGTTTTTACGGGCCAATGCACATGGAAAGAAAGAGTTCTTGTATTTGCAACGAAATTGATCTTGGAAATGTCTTGCTGGACAATGAAATTGCCAAGGCGAGGCATTTCAAGGTTGTAGAATTAAGCAGAAAGCACGAACACGTAAATCGCAACAATATTTTGACATGTTTGGTAAGGAGAATTTGAACAATTTTTAACATAATGCAGAAAAAGAAGTAAAAATATTATTCTTGTTAGTTGAAAGGAGAAGCAGCGAGAAGACTGGTACTTCTACAAATTTGGCAATTCAGAAAAAAGTTACTTGAAAGTAAATTATAAGCTAGGCATGGGTTTGGCTAAGCTCGACAATTACTTTCAACTACTTTCACTTTTTTTTTTAGCCCTAGTCATGCATCCATAATTTTTGCTCCATCATTGTTATATGACTTGTATGATTTTACTTTTTAGCGTTGAAAGCCAATTAAGTTTTGGATGCGCAAACAATAGTCCACCTGGTTTATTTTCTGTTTATTTCTCTTGGAAAGTCACAACTTCAATGCCTATTGCATGTACTGCCTACCAAGAACGAATTCATAATCGAATTACAAGCCGAGCCAATATGTTAAAAAAAAAAATTATGCATGAATTTTTATTTTTTATTTTTACATCAAAAAAATGAAATGGGCCGTGGACTGGATCGTGCGAAGGCCTAGCTCAATCCCCCTACATCCGTCCCTACTACCTACATTACATGTAATAAATATGGGGAATAAAACAAAGACATTATCTTCAAAAATTCTAATAAAGGGGGGAAATGGAACAAAAGCAAAGAAGAAAATAAAAAATAAAAAACAGAATAAATAGAAAGCTTACAAACCGTGGTTAAATGCATTTAGAATGTTTTCATGGTTAAATAGAGTCAATTTGCCAGCTGGTGCAAAATACAGGGAAAAAAAGGTTTCCAAAGCCCACGGCATCACAATTACTGTAAACTTGATAAACAATCCAATACTGTTTTATTTTACAGTTGCTATGAAACAAGCTTTAACAATCTAAGAAAACAAAACCAACCCAAAGAAGAAACCTAGATATAACTGCTATGGCCTGTACTGCAAAAGAGACTAAAATTCTGTCCATTATATTGTCCTATACTGCATACCAAATGTGCTCTAAATTACTTACATTGTCATTTCAACTTGAATTCATTCAGTTCAACACAAATCATTAATCAGGCTAGTAGAAAGTCTCGAGTAGAATCTGGACTAGCAAGAAGATCAAAAGGTTTGCCTATGGAATCTTTCAAAATAGTAATTTGGCCTTCTTTCAAGAGTATATCTTCGTCGAGGGTCTCTATCTTCTTTTTCAACATATTGATCTCTGAATTCAGTAACATGTTATTCTCACTATATTGCTTAATCTCCTCCCACATTAAATCCCTCTCTTCGGATACTTTTGGTAGTATCCCCCCAGCAATTGTCAGTTCTTTCTTACATTCTTGTAAATCAGCCTGAAGCTGATTAATAATATCGTCTTTCTTCATCGCCTGCAAACAAGAACAAAATTAACATGGAACTAATAGCAGACAACTGAGGACAGTGTTTTCGAAATTTGAAAAGCAAAAGGTATAGCATCAAATTTATGATTAATTGTAGAATATGCAAAAAAAAAAAAATCCAAGCATGCATAATTGTTATGTACTCTCTTGACCCTCTCTACTATTTCACTTTTACTCTTACAGAGAATATCAAAGTTTTCCATACTTCCGTCTCTTTATGTTTCTCCAAAAACAAGATTCTATGACTTCTCTAGTAAAACAACTTTGCTACTTAATCTAACTGAATTAGTGTCTGATCTTTCAAATGATTCTTATTTCTGTCAGCAGAATATCAGCTTATCAATACCTATGTATTTCGTCTTTTAATTGTTTTTGAATACATTGAGATCAAACTTTTAATAAAATCGATTTTATGTCATATGGGTTAGCATTCCACTGAATGTGTCACGGAATGGAATGTTTCTTTGCAAGGAACATACAGTCTTGCTAATTCAACACAATGCTGATAGTTTCAAAGAAAATGGGAATAATGTTCATTCCAAAGAATATCAAGAGTTAGCAAATGAGAATACTCAAAAAATTTATCAATATTCAATTATTTCAGCTGACACTGGTATATCTTAAGTAAGCTACTCCGGAACTTCGACTCTAACTTAGCTCAATAGCCCAATTATGCATGGAAAGTGAGGTTGTCTCAATTCCACTATGTTAACTTGAAAAATTAGGTTAGTTGACCCAAATTGGAGTATAATATATTTGGGCCTTATGATGGTCCTCAAAAGCTATGTAGACCCAATCCTTTTGGTCTTGTGATGGTCCCTAAAGCTATGTAGATCCAATCCTTTTAGGGGATTTGAATAGTTTTTTTCAAACTACTGAAGATCCAAAGGACATAAAGTTAACAAGTTCTGCTGTCACTAAGCTTCTACTAAGTAATCAAGTGTCCACAATTTAATCCATATCTGTCAATTTTATAGACATCGGTACAGATTTAAAACAACTCTACCAGACGTAATATTTGCACATGAAGACCTTTACAACTGGAAGAAAGAAGGAAAGTGGTAAACTTCCAAATTGAGAGTTTAAAACGATGTTTCAAACTTTAATTTCCATCTACATAATTTCTTTCATGTGCTCAAGTCTTCATATTGACATTTATACCTCACCACTCCAATATAAGGCAAAACAAGAGGAAATTTGTAATGTCTGTAGTCATTATCTGCTACAAATCTTCGGTAGGAGTTCATCTTAACTCTTCCCAATTACTTTTTCAAATATGTTCTTTATTATGGTAATAAAAATTTCACATTCAAGGTTTTAAGAATTTACCATCCAGCATGATGTGGTATAGAGGGAACTAATGCATGCAGACAAACAATGTGGAATGATATTCTGACTTCGCAACATATGAGTTAGGTGTTGCCAGGCGTATCAAGGAGGTGGTATGAGCATGGAAGAGAAAGTTTCGAGATAAGAATAGCAAGCTTGTTTGGAATCTCATTCCAGGATACATCGTTTGGTGTGTATGGAGACAAAGAAACGGCAGATGCTTTGAAAATCAAATACGAACGACTAAACAATTTAGAGAATTGTTTTACTTATCTTTGTATAGTTGGTTTAAGGCTGCAACAATTAGTCCTATAGAAGGGTTGCCGAATTTTTTATCGTTTATATATTGTTTAAACTAATAATGCACTCATTGTGTATTATCTTTTGTTTTTTTATTTATAAAATTACGTGATTACCTATCAAAAAAAAAAAGTAGGCAACATTAGAATCAAGAATCAAAATTCAATCAGATAACAAATGAAACCATATACAAAACTGCAAAGAATAAGATAAGCTCATAGATGAGATTATACCCTTGTTTGGTAAAAATTATTTAAAACTCATTTTCAACCGCACATTCCCCCGATAAATAATTTTGCACGTGGATCCAGAATTTTTCCCTACAGTTTAACCACACATTCTTCCAAAAAATCACTTTTTACAAAATCTATTCTCATAAAATTTACATCAAATAGACTACAATTTTGCATGTTGCAGAAGAAATAATAATATTTTGGACTTACCTGAAGTTCAAGATCTTTCATCTTGTGGTTTACACAAGAAAAATTATCCAACGCATTTTGCACTTCGCATTTGAGAATGTCATTACCTCTGACTGCTGCAGCCAGCTCAGCCTGAAGTTGTTCCATATCGAGCTCTTTGGAATAAAGTTTCTCACGTAACAAACTCGTCAATAAGGTCTCTGCTTTTAACTCAGATC